GTTCCATTGTGTTAACCATGATTACACACTGGTTTTTTGTAATCATTCACCTTACTTAACAAACCTCTCTGAGTACAATACATGTCAGTCTACTGAGAGTAAGTACAAGAAGTGAGGGTGTGTGAAACATACCAATGGTGTCGATAAGCTCTCGGTCCAATGTTGCATGCAGTGAAGATAGCAAATGCCAACCCTGGCAGTGACCAGCAAGCGATGGCAAATCCACTCCATTCTACCGCCTCACCAAAGAAGTTAGCCCCTGAGACATACTCAAACATTCCACCTGTACAAGGTCAAGCAACATGACAACTTCCTCAGTTCTTAAGAGCTTCTAGGCAGAAAATAGATTAAAACAAATTTACTAAGTGTAAAATCTTGTGAAAATGAGTATTTGGTGATTACACCCAGACCCTCATTTGGAACAGAAATTCTTTTAAGTAAAATATTTGTGTTTCCAGCATTTGTTGAATAACAATGATTAAGCACGAGCAAGATCTTTGCCATGTGTATCACCAATACATTCTATGATAGATGTATGTATAGCTATGAGTATACTCAATAGCAATGTTCTCCACGAGGGGTTTTAGCAGGGCGGGCCACCCTGTTAAAAGTTAGACCACCCCACTTAAGTTTTGATACGTCAGATAGCACCACAGAGCATCTAGACTCCAAAATTTCCGGGGTGTTTGAGTGGTCCCAGACCCCGTGCAATAATGGCTTTGCGCTCCATGCTCACATTAGGTGTCGTCCTGCTCTAATTTTAGGCTGTGGAGAACATTATAATAAATTTTGTTTAATGTTTGGACATCATCTGACCATGTGGTATCTTGTAGCCTGTTTCTCCTGGTTTTCTGAGGTTTCTGAGGATGGAGTCTGAGTGGATGTTGATGGCCATTCCAGAAAAGAAGAGAAACACACCTACATGTGGGTAGATAGAAAGACCAAGGAAACAAGTTCTTTGGTTTTCTCTAATCAACATAGAAAATCTAGCTATTGATAAATGTATTCTTATCCTCCCGTGTTATTCCAATCATCCATGATGGATTGGAAGACTTTGTAGGATTTTGAAGGACTAAGGATAGTATAGCCTTGTCACTTTTGCTTTAAATACATCTCCTTGCCACTTGAAGGTATAATGAAAGATAGTTTTTTAAGGATAGCGTGAAGTTTCTATCGATTGTCACCTTTGTTTATTAATACCTTTCATTTGTAAATATACAAATTTTGTTTTGAAACTTAAGGGGGCCAAAATGTGTGTATAACATTTGATACAGCATACATGTTCTTCCCAAACAGCAGTTCTTTTCCTTTTACTTCAATCTATGACAATTTTTTATTCTAATCCTGCCTAAGGACATGTACATGCATCATGATAATTGAATCAAGCATGCTCCTTTTTACAAAAAACAATGTGTTTTACAAATAAAGGTAAAAGTTCTTCTGGAGTAAGGCGAAGGATTTCCATTCACAAATATCCCAATGTTGAAGGAGGCATCATTGAACAATTGACTTCAAATACTACCGGTATTTTAGAACATGAGTGATGCATGCATGTAAATAGACTTGTAAAGATACACCGTAACCATGCAACCAATATCAAATGAAATGGGCTAAAGTCCAAAAGATAGGATCTGTTGCCTTACATAAGAGTGCAGTTGTCACCTTGTATGACTGGGACAAGGCACCTTGCTTAACCCAGAAAGGAACTCTGGCTAACAATTACCCATCACCAGATGATATGAGTCCTATCAACTAGTATGAGCACACTCACACTGAACCTCATTTGTATCATAAATCCAAGGTGACTGGGATCTACTGATTCCCATAAAAGACCCAGTTATAAGTTATGATTTTTTAGAACTCTATTCAAGTCTTCATTTTCTTACTTTTTATCTGTCTGGTACAAAAGCACTCTTTTGATTGAAATGATGGGCCCAAAAGATTATGCAACAGAGTTTGGGGAGGCCACTACTGAACTTCTTTAAAGTGGATGACTGAGGCAAGTCTAGGCCTCACCTGCAATCATTAGCAAATCTTACCAATGATAAATCTAGGATCCCTTGACCAGCTCTGAGGGTAGACAGCATAGTGTGTTAGGTATTGACCTTGTAGATAACCATTAGTGACACAAAAGAAAAATGCTAGGAGGAAAGCAAGTAGCGTTGTTGGCTTGCCACCACGAATCAGAAAGGTGAAGACAAAAGTTCTGCCAGACATGACATAAATATAAAAATCAATTTGAGTTATTCAAGCTTTCCGTGCACTGTGGTTAATTAATACATGTATAAACACAGTTTGCAGGTGTCTATGGAAAGACTTTTTCAATTGTTAAATCCAAGTGGGGTTGGGTATAACATCCAGTGCACTATCACCAAAGGGCCAACGTGATATATATATATATACATGTATCAGTTGACAAAGTCAGTGTACACAGCCAATGTGCCTGCTCTACACAATCTTGAATCGTGTACTCAATCCCGAGTTGATTTGCCTGTGAATGAAATGCATTCACAGGATAATCAGAAAAGATACTGTAAACCAGTTCCACGGTATTGGTGCACAGGTTATCTGGACAATCGATGTCAAGATATCAAACTCTACTCAATACTTTGTACATGTACTTTGCAGTCTATTGCAAAATTTATATTCCTGTATATGCCTGACTTGCACCATGGGCACTAAAACATCATAAATATAGGCAATTCAAAATTAAACATGGCGTGCCCTTGCTCAAGGAAGAGTTCCATATACAGATGTCTAATTACCTGAAGTGACCTATTTGCCATCAGAAAGCAAAAAAGTCCAGAATAGTTAAATTTAGGAGGAAAAATACCATATTTACTGAGAAAACACTTAAAATCTTTCAGACCAGTCTCATAGGGTTTGTGTGTAGGGGTGTCAAATGGCATCCATAAATTTAACTCTTTCTGGGGTCCATCGCTCCCCCCCCCCAAAAAAAATATTTTTGGCTCGCCAGGCCAGTCGATGTGATCAAACCATTACCAGAGTCAAACTTACTCAAGATTGGTAGGCCTAGTGGTATGGTACTGAATCACTCTGTTTTTTACCACCCACCCATTTCAAATTTCGTTAGACTAACCTCTGGAAGTAGTGGAAAATCATCAGACTGATGAGAACATTGTTGACAAAGCCTTGTTCTCCTCCACTCGCGATCAGCAAAATGGTGGGCAAAAGAAAGCTTGGAATCTCCTGGACAAACCACGCAACTTTCCCCGGAATGAAACAGCCAAAACGAGAGTCAACATATCGACCGTACGGGGCGCCTACGAATTGCAAAATTACACTCACGAACGCACCCAGAAATATAAAGCAGTATGCCACCTTGTCCAGAAACTCCTCTTCCTTCATACCCAGCATATCTGTCAGGGTTTGTGTGAGGGGGAGTGATACAGGGTCTCCTGCAGGAGTACTCATTTTGGTCCAAATAAAATTCGTGGCGGAAATATCCGAGTCCTCTCCAGCAGTTGATACATGCACATGTACGTGCGCTGGTCGTACAATGTATGCGTGTTGTGCAACATGGGCTATAGGCCGTTTTCCAATTTCAACTTCGGCTCCGTTCAGGCTTCAACTGTTTTTTTATCACCTGACTTTAAAGCTGTAAGCGCACTTATTAATCTAATAGTGCCACAAAATATCAAATAAGATGCAAGAGAGCAAAAACTTACAGTAATCCAATTTTATTTAAACGCTTCAGGCCCACAATCGGGGGTTAGTTTCGGGGACGAAGACGAATTGAGAATTGGAAAACGGCCTCATAAATGTGCAGGTACTGGTATAATTAGCGTGTTGGTCATTGACCTTAAGTCAAGAGAGGGCGGTGTTCATACCGTACCACAGCTTGCTCGAAACTTCTGCGCTGACGCTTGGCAAAGTCGCCACATGCACGTGTATACTGAGGGTGGTTTTGAACTGAGAGGTGACTGATGCAGGAAGGTCATTCCAAGAAGGAATTGTTCTCAGGAACGCTCTGGAACCATTTTAAAGACAGTCTAACAGAAATAATCAAGAAATTACTCATAGTTCCACAGAAGGCCACCAGGGGCCATCCAAGACCTGGCTTTCGAAAGCTTAGGCCTATTCGTTGTAGGTAGAGGGAATTTGGAAAGAGGTTAGACAAAAGGAATTCAGAAAGAGGTTACCTCAGAGCAAACAAAATCTGGGCTATCGTCAGACTGGGAGAAATTTCACTCAAAATGCTGTGAATAAAGAAGTGCGTCAGGCCAAAGAACTTCTGGAAGTTTATCATCACAAATCGTACAGTATGCGTAATCGACATTGGAGTTCCAGTATTAGGATTCGGAGAAAGAAATATCACTTCTGATAAAGACAAAGCTTAGGATGTGGCAGACCAGTTTAGTAGTGTATTTAGCAAGGATGACTTGGCCGACACTGGGTCTAAATGACTACCAAGCCCGTATTCAGATATGGCAAACACCACAGTGTCTGTAGATGTCACCCAACTCCTCAGAGAGCTACAAACTATCCGTATGTTTGTTCTGTGAAAGTTTTGCGTGAAGTATACAAACCTAGATAAGACTGCCCTGTGACAGCTGTCAAAACATTTGGACTGATTCGATGTACATTGTGGAAAAAATTTGTTCCCCTTTTCATGCTTTATGTACTGAAAGGATAGCACCTTTATTTATAGGCCAATTAACTATCAATAGAAAGAGTTTAGGTAGTCCTCAACATCATCCATTGAAATTGGTTTAACAGAAGTTTATTCAATAATTAACTGAGTAGCTAGCTGCTGCCGAAGGTGCCCTGTATCGGCATAATAACGTTGATTTTTCTGACTCCAAACTAACAAGATATGGGTACATCCGTCAAAAAAGTCAAGTTGTATAATCGTATTGTGGGTAGGAGGGCTCAAAACAGGGGGAACCTCTTCTTCCAAGGAGTTTTTTCTCTTTTGTTTTGATTGTTTTGTTTGGGTGTTTTTGTTTTCGCAATCGATGTTTCCGTTTTTCACCAAGCGAGATTTATAAATTTCGTCAATCTTTTGTTTTGATTTTCTTTACCTGAATTGCCCTTGTAGAGCCTACATTAATTTAGACATCTTACATTTTTTCTTTCGAAAGCTTCTTGACAGTGGATCTTTTTCGGCACTTAAGAATTCTTTTCAAGTCAATCTTTTCCAAGTCTCCTCCTATCCTCACACAAAAATCACACATCAAAGTGAGTTTAGCCTGAAGTTAGGCAAGATTCTTTGGATCAGTCGCCCATGTTCTTATACGTTAACAGGGGGGCCCTTTCCCACTTGGCAAAATTTTTTTTTGCGAAAACAATATTCACATCTGCTAATATTTTCCCAACTGTACAAATATCAACTCCTTAAGGCAAGAACCCAGTACCTCCAAGAACATTTTAAGGCAAATCCCCAAACCTTCTGGTCACTCATAAAAAAGTTTCAGAGGGAGAGTGTAGGAGTATCTAATCTGAAAGATGGTGAGAACATCATAAGCGACAGCAAAGCGAAAGCCAACTTATCAGCAGTTTCAGGGTGTCTTCACAAAAGAAATTTAAGCAACAGCAGACTATGTCATGATTCATGGAGATGTGCGTCCAGGAATCTCTCAGTTACAAATTTCTGTTAAGGGTGTCGAAAAACAACTTAAGGAACTTATTCCATGTAAAGCGCCTGGGCCAGAGAACATTCCGCCATGGTTGTTAAAGCTTGCTGCAGAACCACTAGCACCTGTCCTGCAAGACCTGTTTCGGAATTAGGTGAACACTGGGATATTACCAAGACAGCAAATGTTACTGGGGTCTTCAAGAGAGGGGCACGTTCAGCCTCCAGCAAACTATCGTCCGTTGTCTCTCACTTCCGTTACTTGTAAAATTCTTGAACAATTTTAGCCATACTATGAAGCATCTCGATTGAGACAATATTCTTACAGATTGTTAACATGGCTTCCGGTCTAGAAGATCGACATAAACTCAACTTATGCATGACATATAGGCAGATTAATTGACAACAAGCAAACAGTAGATGTACTTGACTTTATACGAAGGCTTTCGATAAAGTCCCACACAATCCTCTGTTTAATAAATTACGACAATGTGGGACCACTGCATCAGTGGATTCAACGTTCCCTGTCTGAACGAGTCAGAGGGTAGTAGATTGTCAAGCGACAGATCTTGTACCAGTAACATCCGAAGTCCCCCAAGGATCAGTGACTGGCCCGCTGTTATTCTTGTTATACATAAACGATCTACCACAGAACCTTGCTTCAGACGTTCGTCTCTTTGCTGACGATCTTTTGTACACACGGATAAGATTCAACTACAGAAAGACCTTCACCAACTAGCAATTGGTAATCAAACTGGGAAATGACATTTAATCCGTCCAAGTGTTACGTTATCTCCATAGGCACCAGGGCACCGATCAAAACTATCTACATGCATACTTTTGCAGCGAAAACTTAAGTACCGTAAACAGCTTTGTAATATCTTGGGATCCATATTACCAATAATTTGTCATGGAAGAAACACGTGTAAGAAAGCTCAGAAGGAATAATGTGGAGCTGCAGTCCAAAGGTCAAAGAAAAAGCGTTCTTTGCGCTGGTTCGACCGTTGCTGGAACGTTCGTCATCTATTCCCATTTGATGTCTGACATTCATTGTCTCGAATAGATTCAAAGACAAGCTGCTAGATGTATTTTCAACAACTATACATGTAGTACAGCATCTGGCACCGTGACAAACATACCCAAGGAACTTCATAGGCCATCTTTTGTGACACGGCGTAAAATCAACAGGTTATCCATGATGTTCAAGATATTTAGTCTGATGGTATCCGTACTCCAACTGTTAGAATCTCTAGGGGTCACACAAAAATAAATAAATAGATAAAAATGCAAATCTGTACTCGCACCAAGGTTTTTGACAATGATACCTTCTCCCCAAAACAGTCAGGGATTGGAACAACGTACCACGATCTGGGGTTAATGCAACATCTGTGCTAGCCTTCAAAGAAGCGGTCGGGCAATTTGTTCATGGATGGGTCGGTTTAAACATAGAGCACCCTTACTCGATGGTTTAAATTCAAGTTAGCGTCAGTCCCTCAACGCGAGGAGCAAACCTAATACAGTTGGTGTGATGTATCCTCTGGATGCTTTGCCGACTATATTATACACATACAGATACTTGGAAGGCAAGAGATGAGTCAAAGCCACTAACTTTTAGAGCACGCTACAATGTATAACACCAGGAAAAATAATACCACATCGACGTTAATGGAACTCATCGTCTACCGATCGCACTGAGCAGTTTTTTGACAGTTTCGTCCTTCTGTCTGCAGATGGCGCTTTCCACATTGACCGCCAATGCCACAGCGTAATGCCGAAACGTCGCATGCGGCAAATACTGCGCAAGGGGTTAAGTGTGTACGTGCAACGCAAACGAGACTACCTCAGCAAATAGGACGTGGACCAGAGAGTGATCACTTGAGGAAAATTTGGCTGCTGTTGTCGTAACTGGCAAGTAGTACTGGTCGGCCTACATGGTGCTCGTGTTCCTTTCTCTCAGTGTGTGTACTTAAAGCGGTTTTTACGGAAATATTATCTTCCTTGAAAACGGTAAGTCATAAAAAAATTGTCTCACGTAGGGCCTAATTATTCACCTACTCAACTAGTCTGCATTACCAGTGCATAGCTTAGGTATTTTCGTCATGGAGATACATGTACATGTACGGCTGGCCAACATGGGAAACCATGGAGGAAGGAAAAGACAGCCTATCACGCCTGTAGGTTGATCGAGTGATACATAATTGACAAGTAGGGTCTATAAAATACACATTTTCATTAATTAATACGTAAGCCTACACGCGTACACGTGCATGAAGGTCCACAAAGGTGCAGTGTGTAGGCCTACATGACACAGGCCTACATCATGGAGAAAGGATGAGACCTACATCATGTACCACTGCCAGTATAGTAGAATTACATTTATATGCAACTTTTAAAGTCAAGTCATTTTAAATGTGAAGAAAAAGTTGTTGTATATTTTCCTGTTTTAAACCATCCTGACCATAATAATGCCATTTCATGTCTAGAGTTACACATGAGTTAGGGTCAGTTTGTTTCACTGGAATCTGGATCTTGATCACTTGCACCATCCACTATCATGACTATGCAGGTTTTGGTGTCAGTGAATCAACGCTGGATTGTGACCCGGATCCATGGGAAACAAACACGGCCTTGGGGTCCATGCGTAGACCACTGGGAATATATGTTACAAAAATGTTTTGGTATCATTAAAAGAGAGGAAAATGACTGACATAAAGTTTTGAAGATGTTGTAAAATAGATTTCTTTGTGTGTGTTTGCAAACCTCTAAAGCCTCCTTAATAAAAGTTTGCCCTTTTTTCGAAACAGTCTTACAAGCATTCATTTAAAAAGAAAGTATAATTGGCTGATGGTGAAGGTACAATGTAACAAATTGTGCAAAAAATTTGACTAATTTATTGCCATTGACCAATCATGCCCAGCATATTTTCTGAACAGTCTGAATAATGTACAGGTACAGTAGTTGCCCTGGACTTTTGGAAAAATGTTGTATAATAAGTTGAAATTTCAAAGCAAATGTACACTTATATGC